CAAATGTAGACTGTCATGCTGGATTCAGACTGTATAGCATAGAAAGTTGAACTGCGAGAGTTTATAAAGACTGAAGGCAAATTAAAAGCAGTTGGACTCTTGACTTCACGAATACCTAAACCTAATATTAATCCAAAGGCCTTTAACTGTTTTCCTCAGTCTCACGGTAAGTGTTAAACTCAATCAATAAAGCAAAACAGTTCTTGTAAACGCCATGTATTACGTGTTAGCAGCGCATTCATCACTGCTGATAAGAGAGCTTTAACTCTGCCTCACGTCTATGACACCTTTTGCCATCTGTTTTCACTGAAACCCGACTTTCTCTACGACAAATGTGTTACGTTAAACATGCACCAGGCGCCTCAAAAACAATTTATTACCGTACAGAGAGTGCCAACTTCAAACAGTCGCCATCTTGAACACCTCACGACCTTTTACACTGCTGAGCTGTTTGCGCAGATGAAAAACTTAATATACGTAACGATCCCAGCGAAAGTGCAACCCAAAGCTGAGGGTTTATGGGCTGATGTTTAATTATAGAAAGGATACTGACCGACTCATCTGTCTCGCTGTCACCAGATCACGGCATGAGTGACAGAAAGGTGTGAAGTGCTGCTGTGCAATGAGAACTAGCTAAGCATGTAGCGGGCGGCTTCAGCGTGACAGAAGCTCACAGCGCATGCGCGGAGCTTTAAAGGACAAACGTTTAGTTGCAAGTAGCAAACAGACTAGAATTTAAAAATGTATTGGCCTATAACTAACAAATATAATTCTAAAACGCATTTCAACATACATTGACGGTACACATGGCAAAAATGTACACCCTGGTAATAAAATCATCATCATCATCATCACCATACAATAATACAACAGTAGAAGTGTAGTAGTCTATATATGACACGCATATATTGAATTAAATAAAACAACAACCATAATAACAATAATAATAATAATAATAGTTTACTGGTAAATATTATTAATTAAATATTAACATAATTAGATAATAATCATTATTCATTAATAATCATTACCACTGCTCTGGGTGTGTGTTCACGGTGTGTGTTCACTGCTGTGTGTGTGCACTTTGGATGGGATAAATGCAGAGCACTAATTCCGAGTATGGGTCACCATACTTGGCCACATGTCACGTCACTCACTTAAATGCGCATTATTATTAAATATAGTGCAAAATATTAATGTGCCAAATTAATGTACCTGATGTGACCAACTAAGGATATAACAGAGAAAGGAACACGTCTAGAATTACTATAATTAATTTTTTTCAATTTCTCTTTCATAAAGTACAAACAAATCAGTCTGTATTTCACTGAGCTCCTGTGTGGTTTAATTATAGTCTGTTAAGAGGCATTAATTAATGTTGTGAGGTTGCCAATGCATATCTGATTTAGTTGTTCAAGGGAGAATATTAGAGAACTATTAGCAACATTTTCCAGAAAGGACAGCAATCAGATAAGACCTTTACAGCAACAATGAGCACTGGGGATCTGACCAATCAGAAAAAAAGTGGACACTGACCAGGTGCAAACCCAGATAACACTCCAGCTGCTGATATGCCTAATATACTGACAAGGTTATCTCTGCAATGAGCTAAATTTAATTCGGATTTGATCCGACTTATTCATCATGCATATACGCTCACCTCTATATCCCCTGGCACAATGCAGTAGTGGTCTGGCAAGCCCCTCTATTTATCAAAGAATCCTGACAATATATATCACCGTTTCCACATAAATATTAAGCAGCAAAACTGTTTTCAGCACTGATAATAAGAAGAAATGTTTCTTGAGCACCAAATCAGCATGAATGATTTCAGAAGGATCATGAGACACTGAAGACTGGAGTAATGGAAGACTGTTTTGCCATCACTGGAATAAATTACATATTAAAATAAATTCAAATATAAAACCATTATTTTACATTTTAATTTTTTTGATTTTGTGTAATGTGCGTATCATAAATTGTCTTTATTAAACAATGTTTTATAAAGAGAAAAATCCTTTATAGCATATCACTTGTTCTGTTTTGTTAACTGTTAAAAATGAAAATAGAAAACAATTCAAAATTAAATAAAAAATGAAAAATGTATAGATAAAATATTATATTACTTTCATAAGGCTGAAAACTCAACCATGAGCTAAATATGCACTCCTGAGACTTCAGATAGCATTACATATTTCTCGGATGGTTGCCTTGCATTCTCAAGAAAGACCTGAACGTCTATTATTACACCATTAGGTGGAGCTATTTTCCTGCCACACAGCTTTGCATTCCTCCTACTCTTCCAGTACACAACACCAGATTTTAATGCATCTAGCATGAATCAAACATTAGTGTGTAGGTGAAAATATGGTTTGAATATAGTAAATCATATTTTAGATCTTGATTAGGAGAACCAATTTTCTTTATTCCAGCTTCTTAAATATTGCTTCTGCAATTTTCCTTCAAGCTTTCTCTGAAATAAAACATAGCTGAAACCAACCATTATCCATTGTGTTGTAAATGCCTCTCCCCTGAAGCTCTGCTAAACTCCGAGTGGAAGAGAAAAACACAAGGTTTTAAATGTTGCATGCAGATGCGATATGTTTCCCGCCCTGCACGGCGCTTACACTTCATGATCTAATTCCAAGCAACCTCCTTTAGATTGATCAAAATGTGTTTATGAAGATAAAAGAGAAGAGATAAAAACATTCAGCTGAATCCTATTCCCTCTGCGCTAATAGCAACATTACAAGGCTGTGTCTGTTTTGTTGTACTGGATAATTATGTGCAAAAGCCTCTTCATTAGGTACAGTTGAGAATAATTAAACAGACATTTTGGATAGGTCTTTTTTGCGTGTGGTAGAAAGATTTCAATTATGTATGCAAAGAACCACATGTTTCAAAAAAGTTGATAAAGCACACAGCCAATGAGATATGGCTGAAGCATTACTGGTTTCAGCAACATTATACATTTCCAGGAGTCTCACTTCAACCCAAAGGGAAATTGCAGTTTAAAAATCTAAATATGCTCAAATATCAAATAATGTAGCAAGGCTGCACAGTGATTTGCTTATATTTCCAATTCATGTGCATATATGCATGGTATAGTTTGCTTTCGAGTTTGTGTAGAAGATAGATATCAGGGTTCCACCCAAGTGAAATCACGCTAACAAGCAGTGCAGCGTGTATTATACAGTGCATCACCACTCCATGATCCAAACTGACACTTTGGGAGCTGAGAGCCAGTTTGAGACTAACTCTGCTGGTATCATTTATTGAGAGCCTGAAGCATCTCAGTAGCAGTTCGGGCTGCTATCTCCTCTCATCCACATTCCCTTGTCTCGCAGAGATCCACACTTCAGTGCTCTGTGTATTGCTGTCTAATGATTCACGCTATTTTAATGAGTCCACGGATCACATAACTTTATTGTGCGGTGAAACTATTCTAAGGTAACAGATAATAAAAAAAGAGTAGGCTTGGCCTGAAAAGAGGGTGATGATTATTTGATCGGTGTGTTTCCTGCCCTGCACTCAAGTGATGTCATGTTTTAATCCCCCTCTGCATGTGTTTGTGGGTGTGTGACTAATATGCAAAGCGCAGTATGCATGCTATATGTGCATGTGATGAAGCTGGCATTTATACTTTTGGAGCATACAATCAATGGATTGTAAATCCTATTCATATGATTGTGAACTAATTTAGTCACTGTTTACACTTTAAAAAAATGGCATATAGGATTTAAAATTTTGAACAATTTTCACTCAGGAATTGCTATAAAATTTCACAATTAATTACAAAAAAAAACAGCAAGTAACATTGAATTAAACGTGAAATTTTGAAGTAGAAAGACTGAAATTGAATTTGCTTGTAAAACATGCTCCAATAATCTTTAGTACTTTTCGAAAAATCTAATTTTACAGAGCACTGAGTCGTATCTCAGGCAGTGGTTGGGTTTGAGACAACATCAAAGCACCTGCCAGCAGCAAACTTGATACATAATAACCTACAGGTACAAGGCTGGTACTTGCTGTACCCAAACAAGACCTTTATAATCAACATTCCATCCATGTCTGACTAAAGTTGCAGTTTTTCTATCCCTGATAATGAGTGATGTCCTCCCAGGCACCAGTAACGATGTAATCTAAATGCAACATCAAAATGAAGCATGTCTTTTCCATCACTCTAGAATACATATATTATGTCTATGTTTGATTACATTTTTCTAACAGACTGTTTTTAGAAGAAGCCTTCATATGTTCGATTTATCTTATAAAACGCAGTTTTCATAATTGTAAGTTACTGTGTCTGGAAAAACAACACTTGCACCTCAAGCCGGAGATGCTTGTTTCCTTGGTAACGGGGGTCTCGTTGAATTTCTCCATTGCACTTCAACGCGCCTGTTCTGGAGCTATCTACGGGTGATAGATGGAGACAAGCTCCCATTGATTATTTTTTATGAGAAAAAGCAAAGGGAAAACAAGTCTATTGACAGTTCGGCGAGTAGACGATGATCATAATGAATGTATAAGAATGACACGGATTTATTATCAGTTTGCCATAAACGGATTTTTCCAAAGACGCAAGCAGGGCTACATTAACTTGTAATGTGTCATATTAAAGGAAACGAATGATATACACATTTAAATGTCACCAAAAGATTAATGCGAAAGCATAAATGATACGATTCCATAGTGAACCAGTTTGTCTGTTTAAATAAAAAAGGCTACTAGTTGCCTCCTTTTTTGAGAAAATACTGGACAAGTGATAAACAAAAATACATGATATGAAAAAACGATCATCTTTCAGTCTATGTTTTTTTATATGCCAATTGCACAACAATGTACACAAAACTAATAGTCTACGCACATCTTACTGGTTTCGTGTGACTTACATATTAACGTTAGAAAATCCGTCCAATTAGTTCAATCACACGGCACTGTGATGACCTGAGATTTTCCACGCAATAACGCAAATGTTTTGAAGTCTATTCGACCGTGACAGCTCCGTGATATCAGGCGTAATCTGCGAATGCGCGCGCATCAGTGTGCGAGCTGAGTTCTCAGCACCAAGGACAGCGTCTCTCGCAGAGCATCAGGTCACCCTTGACAAAACCTTGACTAAGATTCAATCACGCCAAGAGCGGGACAAGTGAGCGCAGATGACTGCAACATTACTGCAAAACTGATTTTTCCACCTTCTCCCGAGAGAGAGCGCATATGTGAGGCGACTATCAACAGGAGCCAGCATCATTCTCTACAAAGGCGTGTTGACATGGTTCTTGAATATGAACGGGTTTCATGAGTGAAGCCCATTCCTCTGCGGAGTGGACTGAGGCGATCGCATTCCAGTGCTGCTGGAGAGGACGCAGTGAGAGCGGATCTGTCTAATCAACGGGCATCGACACGCATCCTCCACGGGGCACTCAGCTTGACTCCTCTGCCATCCAGGGCAAAATGCGTCTGGTTCTGTTCGCCTTCCTCATCTCGTGCTCCTGTGCGAGAGGCGGATGCGAACCCAAGACTGTGAATATCGGGGCTGTCCTGAGCCAGAAGAGATATGAACAAGTGTTCAAAGACGCTGTCACCCAAGCCAACAATATATACGGCAAAGATAAATTCAAGATGAACGCTATTTCTGTCACCCATAAACCAAACGCAATCCAGATGGCACTCTCCGTATGTGAGGATCTCATCTCTAACCAGGTAACACTCGCAAACCAGTCTCTTCAACTCATGCGAATACTCAGAATTTAGGCATTTTGACGTTATAATAAAATCTTTAAAAAGAAGATATTTTGAAGTGCCTTGTCACACAATGCTTTCAACGTTTGATTCCTTTAAAAAACAGCACTTTTCAGAAACATCTATCTTTATTTCTTTCTATCTATCTTAATGACTACATTATATTTTTATTATATTGTTAATATTAAAAAAAAACACAATTTCTATTGACTTATTTTGAAGTGCGAAGTCACCAAGTCTCTGAATGTTTGATAGTATTTTTATTGGTTCTTGCAAAGAGAAATCTATCTATCTATCTATCTATCTATCTATCTATCTATCTATCATCATATTAGGTTTACCGTGTCGGATGACTCTTGTTAATTTAAATTTTATATATCATTATTTTAAAGTATAAGATATCAGTAGCCTATTTTAAATATCTTTTGATACTTAAATCAAGCTGTCATTTTAATTAATTCATTTTGATATTTTTATTTTATTTTATATATTTATATTTTATTATTTATTTTTTATATTTGTATATATTTGTTTTGTTTGTACGAAGTGTTTCTGGTAAACGCGAAGAAATACAAAATCTTTAAAAGTCAGATTCATAAACCTGCATTCTTTCAAGAAAAGGTATTGTCAGCCAAATGTAGTTATTGCAACTTTGTATTCTGCAAAGGCAAACGCTTCTGCGAATCTCGACTTTAGAGCACATTGCACAAAAGAAAACATGCAACAGGATCGGGGTCCATTTTGACCTTACCGATGAGTGAGCATTGCTGTGATGGGAAGGCTGTAAGGCTGTGCTCAGAGGTTACATGCACTGAGCCTGAAATAATGCAAAGTAGGCTACATAGGATATGTGACAACCTGTGATTCATGTGGAGTCATATAAACACAAATTCAAGCATAAGTAAAACATTTAAGGTAACATCACTGACCCCTCTACGAGGCGCCATGGCATCACAGTTGGTCCACCTCCTCTATTTTAATGAAAAACGTAAAACGAGGCCAACATGGCGCCAGCCTCGTAGATAACAGCTGCTTTGTTCTGCGAGGAAAGCTCTAGCAAATTATTACACGGCGGTGGAGGCAGAGATTATGGACTTCAACGCTGTAACACGGATTACCATCCAAGTCACACCCGTCTAACATGCACAGACTCGAGCGTGCGCGTACTGTTCATGACAGCCAACTCCAAACTGCTGATGTTAGATCAACACTTTGACATTTCGCTGTCAGCTGGCTCCTCCAGCAAGGCTAAAGAATTGCTTTACGTTGTAGAAATGCGTCAGTACATAGGTTACAAATTAAAACAGTTATGCGTTGTGTATAACCTTCTACATTGGGAAAATGTTGGTCATTTTAATGGAAAAACACTACACATACTACAGTAAAAACCCTGACGTTAACTGCAAGTTACCTTAAGGTACAAGGCAAAACAATTTATATATATCTAACAGGACAGGACATAATGTAAAATGATTGTAACATATTTATTTAAATATTTGTTTCTTATAATATCTACTATCAGTAAAATAGCAGTAAAATAAAAATCGCGGAGCAAAGAGTAAACTGACAACGCCCCGACAGACAAGACAGAGCAGGTTACTTATAGTATGAAACAATTTGTCATTTTTAAGAAATTCAAACAATAAATACCGTTTTGTGTCTCTTTAATGTGTCGTGAGGTCGTGACAGATGTTGCACCTAAATTCAAGCGGCACGTGAACCGATCATCTTTTCATACCTAAAGCATGAAATGAACAGGCCGTGTTGCCAACTTAGCAATTTTGTTGCTAAATTTAGCAACTTTTCAGACTACCCTAGCAACTTTTTCTTCCAAAAGCACACATTACTTTAGTTGCTATTTGCAATTGTTAAATTTAATAATAATAATAATAATAATTGAATAATTGTTCATTTATGATACACCTTGTTAGCTTGTAGCCTACCTGTGATTGTTGATCAGTTAGTACACTTTAAGAAAAATATCTAGAAAAATGGAAAAATACTAGTAATTTTCCAGGACATATCCATTATCCGTTGTAACCCTGCAACCTGAAAACACAAAATAATGCAATGCGTAATTTAAAATGCAGGTAAAAAAAATTGTGAAAAATCAATACGGAAAATTGCTTCATATTAACATAGAAGATTGTGCCCTGTTTTTACAGACTCTTCTTAGAGTGTAGCACACGAACTAACTACTAATACACTGCTTAAAACTATAATTGTTCAGAATATGTAGTTTTACTAATTTACTAGCTAATAAAAAAAATTAAATTGTTCAAAAATATGTGTTCAATAATTCAGTGTTGTATTTAAAAATATTTATGAATATTAATATATTATGCATTTATATTATTTTACGAACAAATTTAAATTAACATTTATAACAGTTTTGCTGTGATTTGCTGCAGTGACAATTTTGCGTCATGATTACGTAATGACATCATCGAGCAAAGACATCACATCATTTAGGAACTTTTAGCAACAAGTTGACCTTCCTTTAGCAACTTCCCCTGAAAATTAGTTGTCAACACTGTGAACAGGAATGAACATCAGAACGTATTTAATTTCAACCGCGGAAAGACGTCAATACACAACATTTTTCAAGTTTATAAGTTTTAAACACCAAAATTACCACTATCCTGTCTGATCTGTTTGTCGGGCAAGATGGCGGATTTAGCGTTATGATTGGTCAGATCGCCTGTCAATCAAGCCAGCTGACTGTACATTATCCCGCCTATCATACGGCTACACACCAAATAAATAAATACGTGGCAAGAAATTTTGATTTGAATTTTGAAATTTTACCTGTATATTGTCTTAAAGCTTCCGCTAAGAACATTTCGCTGATTTTCTCTGAGGTCATTTTCGCGCCACTTCGAAACGAGAGAGCACGTGATCCGAAAGGCGTGAAAGTAGCGTCGCGCTATAGTGTTTTTTTTTTTTTCAGTTACCCGGATGATCGACTGCGTCCATGCCTGATAGTGCCCTGCGAAGTGGACTTCACTCCATATTAAATGAGATTCCAAATTGCAGAAGCATATATTGTTTAGCTCAGGCACTGCACACTGTATAGGGAAGAACATGGATACATCGCTTCACAAACAGCAAATAAGGACATTTACCAGCCTTTCATCGCAACTGGTGTTTCATCTGTGCTCGATGACGCTGTATTTCAAGCGAACTTCGACAGATGCCCTGCTTCTAGTGAGCTTTGCAGTAAATACTAAGTAGGGACCCTGTGAATTTGCAATGCAGTCGCCACAATTGACCAATCAGAATGTAATAAGTCATGTAATATAATATTGTGATTAAATTATATTTCATGTTATTTAGTGAATGTTCATGCCGTGTTATTTTATTGTCATATTTGTTAGCTTAGTGGTATTTGTTTGGCAACAATTCCCATTTGAATAATATGGTCTTTTTACTGTTTTTATGGTCTGTTTACTGTTTACAAGTTTACTGTTAGTACTATTAGTCGTCTAGTTAGTGTTGTTATGGTTATCAATATTTTTCTATTACAGATTTTAGTAGATCAAGTAGGTTTGTATAGCTATACATTGTATCATTCATTCATTAATTAATTCATTTAGTATTTGTATTGATTGATTAATTGATTGATTAGAGGCCTTTTACAGTGTAGTTTAGAAGTGACAAAATCAAAACAAGTGACAAGACTTTATCAGATTTCTCTCCTCACTATGATCCTCATGTCCTCAGGTATATGCGATCTTGGTGAGCCACCCACCCCAGTCCAACGACCATCTAACTCCCACTCCGGTGTCCTACACAGCTGGTTTTTACCGTATCCCTGTAGTGGGCCTCACCACCCGCATGTCCATCTACTCTGATAAGGTGTGTGTGGGAGACCACCAGCAGCTGGTTTATGACTCAGTATATTTCAGACAGAAATTCTGCTTGCGTTCCACTGCAGATGTCATCTGTCCTTTTCTTCAGTCACCTTTTTTAATATGGTTTGCTTGGAGTTTTGAAGTGTGAAAACCTTTTCTGCATGATATAGTGTAGCGAAGCCCTGAAAATATATTTTTGCATGACGGTCCACCTCCAGGGCTGCGTTTCCCAAAAGCATCGTAAGCTTAAGTACATCGTAGACCCATTGAAACCAATGGAGCTACGATCAACTTAGGCTAACGATGCTTTTGGGAAACGCTACCCAGGATGGTTTTCTATTCCTCCTCCAGAGCAGAATAATGTGATAAATGTTTACTCGTTTTTAGTTCTAGTGTGGTCATTTTTTAGACCTTTAATTAAAAACTCATAAATACTGCATATAGCGTCATGATCGATTGCCTCTTTTAGGTTCACTTATACTCTGCCTTATGGCATCTCGGCACGCTAAGAAGTGATGTTTGGATCCGTCTCTAAATTAATTACAGTTAAAGTGATTAAATCCTAATGAACTGGAATTGCTTCGGGCCTTTGAGATTCACTAGTTCTTTCCCCCCAACCGTCCATTTAGAGCATCCACCTCTCCTTCCTGCGCACGGTGCCACCCTATTCCCACCAAGCCCAAGTGTGGTTTGACATGATGCATGAGTTCCAGTGGAATCACATCATCCTGATTGTGAGTGATGACCACGAGGGCAGAGCGGCACAGAAAAGACTGGAAACCCTGCTGGAGGAAAGGGAGACGAAGGTGAGATGCGTGGGCTGCCGACTCACACGGCCCAGCGTGTAAATGAGTGTGTGTAAGTCAGCGTGTGTTCCTGTAATCAATATCTCAGAGGTCCTCTATGTATGTTAAATGTTTCCTTTTTTCTGTTGTGTAAACATTTCTTTCCATTGGCTAACATTATTTATGCTAGAGGCATCAGCAGCGTCTTAAGTGGTTTATCTGCAAAACTTTGTACTTTTCTACTCATCTCACATTGCTTTTTACCATAGTCAGATTCTTCTATTTGTCTATCCACAACAGGAGCAAAATGAGGGACTTAGCCTGGGGCTGTGCAAAAAATCAACAGCAAGGGGATTTGGTTGTTTTGCATTTCTGTGGTTCTGTGAGAATTTCTTCCCAGCAACAGACTGTGACTGATTTATTGAGTGTTCTCTGTGTGCAGCTGTGTGCTGTTCAGTATTTCACATTATGTAAGAAAGTATTTTACAATAAATTTGAAGCTGAAGGTAGTTATGCACCATGTGAGCATTAAACCTCATCAACATTTGCATTTGTACACATACGTAGTAATGAAAGGTTACATATGCAGTGTCTAAATTAGAACAAAATAATGATTTGTAATTCACTAAAAAGAGCCATTTCTTCGGGATCTGAATCCATTAGCATGGCACTGTATTTTTAGGACACCCGCGATGTCGTTGCAATGTCATTTTCAATAATGGCAGCCCCAAGGCCAGCTGTTTTTATATGCACATTCTCAGACTGTTTTGGGAATCAGTAGAAGGGTTCATGAAAGTCTTTTGCTTGTGTCAGTTATTACAACAAAACTTTGCCTGCACGTTGTCCACACGGTTGGATTAAAGCCATTTTGATAGACAAGAAAAACAACAGTTTTTCTCAGTCCGTTGAGAGTTTAGGGGGCAAACAGGCTTTTTTTATACAGTCAGGCACAAAAAAATCTTAAAACTACAAATATGTATTAAATGCATAAAAATTATCTCAAATAATCCATGTCCATCCATTTAATCTAGGAGAGTTTTACTCATTTTACTTGGGCTCTCCAAAAGCAACAAATACTTGACAGACAAACATAACAAAATATAGGTAATCCAGATTCTGTGGCTCTGAAAAATGTGCATTATCTAGATAGAGTGCTTGAAATATTTTATTTCGGGCCATATGTCTGGACAGACATGACTTGTGGCAGCAGCTTGCTGTGCTTCATGGACTGTAGCTGATGTTCTTTTACGGTAGATTGACAAAGAAATTTAAACTGATGGATGGGATTAGGCTGCGCTTGAATGTACTGCACAATTAACAAACAGCAATGCATTATAACGAAACAGAGACATTAGTGCTTATTATTAATTGTGCTAAAGCAAGGAGCACACTCAGGGCAAGTGTTTTAATTAAATTCAAGTGAAAAGGTTAAATTAAAATGAAATATTATGAAAAGAATTAAAGGAGGAGAAGTCATGGAAATAATAGCGTGCGGTTTCAGGCCATATGCAAGGATAGATAAGGTTGTCTGCTCCATGTAGTCTTTGTTGATGTTTTTGCAAGCCCCAGGATTCGAGTTTCCCAATTTGAAGCAGAAAAGTGGAGATTTGTTGGAATGCTTTACTGCGCACCATTTATAACTGTTTATAATATTCTGTGTCTGCATATTTTCTCTGTGCACATTATTCATCAGAGTAAAAACAGGAACTATGAAAACCTCGACCAACTGTCCTTTGACAACAAGCGAGGACCCAAGGTATATTTGCATGGTCAATGCACGCCGCCCAAAAGTTATCTGAAAGTAGCCACTAGAAAGCAGTCAAAAAATCAACAAACCGATTCCAGAGATCCTTATCCTGCCAGCACGTCTATTTATTTGGATTCTTTTTATGATTTCAATCGAGAATGGGTTATTTTTTCTGTTAAAGCGTATACAAAAACTCGCTCCCCCACCTCTCACTTTTTTATTTTTGTGTAAAGGAATGCATGTATTGAAGCCAGCAAGATTGCAAGTCTATTCTTTTGACAGTGCGTGGAGATCTGGTCGTGTGGGACAGGCACTATCCAGATGTTACTCCCACCTTTCTGCAGCATTTCTTCCTTTTTGTTGTTTTTGTTTGTTTGTTTGTTTTTGGTTGGGAAAGAAGCCACCACCA